TACCTATCAAGACTTACCAGCGTATTTACCCCAAAACCATTTCATGAAAACTTGTTTCTCAACATTCTTTTCTCAATGCAAGTTTTCAAATCAACTTCCAAAGTTTAATGTAATCAAATGAATTGTTATGCCAATAATACAAGATGAATATAAAAACTTTTATTCCAATTCATCATTCAAGGAATAACACAATTCCCTCTTCTCAAGTATCATCAACAATTAGTCATTTCAAGACTATTTCAACGTTTTGAACAATAATTCCAAAATGAACAACAATTATCATATTCCCTGAAATTCATCATTTATATAAATATAAATAAGAAATTTTCCAAATATCCATTTATTTTGACACACAAAATAAATACAACCATATCATTCATGGATTTTCAGTCCCTTTTAAAAAAATCTCCAAATTCTAGGTTTTCTCACCAAAACTATACAACTCAAATCCTTTGAAAGAAAACTTTCCAAAATCATCTTTCCTTCAATCAACGAAGATCAAAACCCATAAGATCATTTTAAAAGAACAAGAGACAAACCCACTTTCAAAATCGCTCAATTTTTTGAATCAACAATCAATTTTCAAAGCTATCGAAAGATGATTTCGAAAATCATATAGATCTTGCAAAAATATATATATAACTCTAAGAAAATCCCTACCTCAAGTTTTGAAGAAAAAATGAGATGAAACCCCCAAAATCACCGGTGTCAAAACTCGATCTTCACCGCATACAACGAAGCCCTCGAGAAGTTAACCAACTTTGATGAAGAACTTATGGTAGAACTCTAATGGATCTTGAAAAATCAAGGTTTTGATCCAATTTGGCATAGGGAAATGTAGAGAGAAGGGAGAGGAACGGGTTTTTAGAGAGAGAAATATATACAAAAGTGATTTGAAATATCAAATTCACGAACTGATATAACATGGTCCGCTCGAGCATGGAAAGCCCCGCTTGAGCGTCAAATACACTTTCCTAGTACTTTTGCAGACAGGTCAAACTTCTGAAACCAAACATTCTCCGCTCGAGCGCATAAACGGCCGCTCGAGTGGATAAGCAACTTCTAATGTATTTTACATTTTTGCTTCGGGGGTGCTGCCCCTCAACCCCGCCAAGGAGCGCTGCCCCCTGGACCCCCGCGAGCTGATCGGGTAGCTCGATCCCAGACATACTCAGCGAAGTGGCAAAACTGGGATCACTACACTCATTATTAACCTTCCCCTCTCATACCTAAGGTTCCGAGCCAAGCATCCTTGGTTACAACAAACAGTGGCCTTGGCACGAGTCATGGGTTTCCTAATTTCCCAAAATAAATATTAGGTGGCGACTTTGAGATCTGATAACGCAGTCCATTTTTGACAAAATTGCAATAAAATGGATTTTCAGTAAAAGTTTCCAAATCTGGACTCTCATCTATGTTTCACATTGCACTTGTGAGACTAGTCCGAACTGTTTAACGGACGCGGGTACCTCCCGGACATGTTACACACATGTATAGCAAATCTTCTATAAAACGAATGTTATTGAATTAGTATCATAACTTTCGTTCAAAAAAAAAAAATAGTATCATAATTGGTAACCCATTCGTTTTATCAGACTTCAATACCTTCAAGAAAAGGTAAATGAATATTTTGGTATAAAAGAGTAATCATCCTAGCTAACCAATTTTTTTTTTCTAATCACCTAGTTTAGAATGAGAGCCAACCAGCGACATACATAGAGAAAAATAACATAACACAACGTTTCTAATATGGATCAGTCGCATGTTCCAATCTAAACCAACCATCCTTTGTTAATGTTGACTACCTTCGATCAACCCAATTTGAAATATCCCAAAGTCTACTCTTTAAAATAAGCTCAACCTAAGATCCATTTTATTTTAGCAAGTGAAAGTGATCTTTGATTTTTTTATTTTTTTTTTTAAGATCGGGAAAAAAAGTCTTCATTGCAAAACCGATAAAAGATAAAATCAATTTAATACAAAAGGAAGGATCCAAACCTCCATAGAGAATGAGAAAAAGCCCTCACAAGGTAGGGAAAAAAATCGGGGGATTTGGTCATAGCCCCCTCACTATCTAATTTCTCTTTCAAAAAGACAAAAATTATATAAGTACTTTCAAAACCCCTTGATATTTTAAAACTTTTTTCTTTTACTATATTACCCTCATATCTATCAGCTCTCCTATTAAGAGATTTTAACTATGTATTTCAGAGTAAAATTTTACTCTGTATGAAAGTAAAATTTTACTCTGAATGAGAGTAAAGTTTTACACTCTGAAACTAAAAGTAAAATTTTACTCTGTATAAAAGTAAAATTTTACTCTGAAAAATAAGTAAACTGTAAGACTCTGAACCTAAAAGTAAAATTTTACTCTGTATAAAAGTAAAATTTTACTCTGGTTCTGTCAAAAGAAAAAAAACAGAGCAATAGAACTAGAGTAAAATTTTACTCTGATTCTATCAAATGAAATTTGATGTTTACTCTGAAAAATCGATGGAACTTTGAGCTATGAGCTTTGAATCAAGCCTATAATACTTGAATCAATCGATGTTTACTTTGAAAAACATTGAATCATGCCTATAATCATTGAATCAGGCCTATAATCTGAAAATTTTAGAGAAATATCAATTTTTCATACCCCGGTTCTTCAGATTTTATAGATTTTTCAGATTTTTAAAACTTTGAGCTTTCAAAAATCTATATATTCGAATTCAAATCTCAAAACACACAAACACACACATTTGTGTGTTTTGAGATTTGAATTCGAATATATATATATATATATATATATCTATATATCTCGGGAGATTAGAGATCGGAATCGTTCATGGTGCACAGATTTGAGTTGAAACCCTATATCAAAAGAGGGAAGAGAAGCTTGCGGAGGCTCTAGAGGATGATGAAGTCATGGAGAGGTAACGGTCGAGGACGGAGTCGATGGAGGGGTTGCCGAAGGCGAAGGTGTTGCCGGCGTTGGAGAAGGTGATGACGGCGGCTTTGGTGCCACACAAGTTGCAGAGCTCGCCGGTCTTCTTGAAGAGACCATCTGTGGAAAGGAAGAAAGTGGGGAAGAGAGTGGGTATAATAGTCATATAAAGTATTTAAATAATAAATTTGTCCTTTATGTAAGACTTTATAATTATGAAGGGGTTTAGAAAGTATAATTTTTTTCTTAGTCCTTTTAACAATGAAAGGAAGGTAAAGGGGGTTTATAGCCAAATTTCCCAAAAAAATCTCTACACAAGAAAGATTATTATATCAACAAACTAAAAATTAAAAAAAAAAAAATCAAATAGAAAAAAACCAAATCCAAGTCCTTACCAAACTCATCCAAAACTTCAATACTTCGCAATCTTCAACTTGGAATCTGAAAACTCCACCACTGCTAGTTAAGATAGAACATTGAGGTTGAGATGGTCGCCTAGCGTGAAACAAACACGTTATTAAGCGTTGATTTTTGAATTGTGAGAAGATCTGAAACCAGATCTTAAAGTGTGGAGAAAAGTAAGGCAGTGATGGTCGGATTGATGAAGCAAATATCAAATTTGGAGGAGGATCGGAATGAAGGAGAGGAGATGAAGATTGGAGAAGTGGGGGAACCACTACCGTCTTCCTCTCTCCTTTGAAGGAAATCTAGAAAGAAAAGAAAAAGAGTTTTAGGATTTGAGAGAGATTTTTTTGGTTTGATTTGGAATTGGTTTTTTGAGAATTTTTTTTTTAAATTATAAATTAATTTGATAAAAATAAATATATATTTTTTAAATTTTAAAAATTATTTGTACATTCAAATGAAATTTATGAATGTTTTTAAATTTTAATAAAAGTATTTCAATAAAACATATTCTAAAAATTAAACCAAACAATATTTAACCACTATATAAAACATGTTATTTATTTTAATTTTTTTGGTTTGTCGTTGCCCTTTAAAATTTAAAGAGTAAATTATAGACATACACTTTGAGATTTGTTTAAATTATGATTTACCCACTATAATTTTGGAAATTACATCATGTCTCTTGAAATTTCTTATTTCATAACAAATTACCTTTTTATTAATAAATCATCAAGTAAACTAACACTTTTAAATGATGTCAGAAATTTATTTCAATTAATAATTCAAATAATTTTATCAATATATAGGAGAACAGTTTGTAATTTTATTTTTTTAGTTAATTTTGTTTAAAAAAAATTATGACGAGGATATTTGTAATTTTTTAAATTATAAGGGACAATTTGTATTTTAAGCATACCTTAAAGGGTATATTTATAATTTATCTTTTTAAGTAAAGAGGTGTTTCTAAAACTTAAAAATGGAAGTTAACCACACACATTATATCGGTATTAATTATGAATTATGTTTTATTTTTATTTTTATAATGGTTAGTTTTGGTTAAGTTACAACTATGATGGTTTTAGTAATGACTAAAAATAGCATATCGCTTATAACTTAAAAAATTTGTTTATGACCCAAATGATTGTAATTAATGGCACGTTTAGTTTTGGTTCAGTTGCTGAAAGTGAAAGTATATATGATATACATTTTTTTTACAACAGTGTACAATAAATTTTTCTTTACATATTTTCAAAAAAAAAAAAGTGCACACCATATGTCCCTCTACTTCTAGCCATTGAAATTGAATAAATAAAAACAATGAATTTTGATCATAGTCAATGAATTTCAACTAATATTATTTTGAGAATGTAATCAAGAACCACGGTGATTGTAACTTTATTTACCACAATGAGAACATAACAAAACATGAGTTCTAAACAACTTTAATTTGACAATTTGATAGCTCGACACCACCACAATTATCCATTGTCTAATGCCACAACAGTTCCTAACCAACATGAATTTTGATCCCAGGAACTAAAACCAATTTTGCTTGTAACTTGCATATGATACATATGACATCTCGTTTAAGAGCAACAAAAAACAAGATGAATAATATATATAGTGCTCCTGAAATTAACAAAAAAAAAAAACTCTCAAAAGACGGTTTCAAATATAGGCTTGCTCAACCACCACATTACAGTGTAGACATCAAATAGCCATTGTATTAACAAGCTCTGGAAACCTAAACAGCCATATAAACGAGCCAACTCAGAATTCAGCTTTACATGAAAATTTGTGTGCAACTTTATGGTATTCCACAGCAAGACAAGTAAAACTTCCAGGTATGGAATTATGTTGTTAAATGTAGTTTCTCAGCTGCTGGAAGTAAAACTGATCCGAGCTTCGTCAGCATTGGACTTTAGTTGCTTGTACAGCTTTGTTCCCGAAAATGCTTCTAAGCTTTCTTGTAGATATGTTAGGGCAATTAGTTTCTTTTCACTGTGTGTATCAGGACAGCAACCTTTGCTTTTCTTAAATTATATTCTCTCTCTTCTTAACCTGCACATAAAGAGAACAAAATCAATTTTCCAGATATACTGACTTTATTCTTGTCACATTGTTTGTTTCCTTTTTCCTTTTTTTTCTTTAATTCTAATAATTTTCCTTGTATGTTTGGAGTTGTTCAAAGCTGCAAGTTTCTATAGCGTTGCAACTCCAGAACACCATAATGGTTGTAGAAAATCAACTTGCATCAATTCAAAGCACTGTCAAAGCCCTAATATTCTGATTTGATCATGAAGAGACTCCCGGGGATGGAACTTAGAAACTAACAATCATTCAGATGTATGGACAACTTACATGTTTATGAGCACAAGGGGCATCCAAATAATAGAAATTGACTAGCATACAGGTGTTCTATTGTTCCAGATGAATGCACTGTTAAGGACAAAGGGAAAGGCAAAATGGACATAAAATGAATTTACAAGACATCCATTAAACTATAATAAAACAGGACTCTTAAAATGGTTTATTGGAAATTATTTCACATAAGAGAGATAGGGTATGTTTGGGAAGTGATCAATCCAAACGGCTGTCTTGTCAGTGGAAAAAGCATAACCCTTCAATGGGTTGCACCTATTTTGAATGGTTGTGATTATTTACAAAAGGATATGAACAACTGCTATTCATACTTTACCAATGCAGGAGGTTTTGTGCATTTCAAAGCATTGATTCTACACCCAACCGCATCTTTTCTCTCTCGCATTCTCTTGTGTGATACCTAGTCTAAGGACAATACCACAAATGTTTTTCATTCTCTTTCATCAACATTATCAAAGCAAGGCTTTAGACATTACAGTCTACGAAAAATTCATTTCATCAAAGCAGACTTGTGTTCTCCACAAGCCAATGTGAGCCAATCAAATATAAAAATCACCAACTACATAAACATATTTAAGGAGGCAATTCAAGTGGCAGTAGATAGTTAAGGCTATGTTCATAGTGATAGTGTTTCATCCGGGCAATAGCAACTAATAGTTGATTAAGTTTGAATAACAAGAGGTGGAGGTTTGACACAGACCGTTTGACTAAAGAAACTCAGAGCATCATCGAGCTCCTTGACATTACTAAACCTAGATTTGGGTTTCACTAACAATGATCTAGGATTAGTAAGTGTCTCTCTCTGCTAGTAGTATTAGTAGTACAACTAGTAATACCAATACATCAATGAGGATGAAACAAAACTAAGTTGTTCAAGGAGAAGAGAATAGAAGAACCTTTTGGGATGTAATGATGCTGAATTAAACTTTTACTCTTGCCTTGTATGAAAAACAAACAACAAACACCAAGCTCCTGCAACTGCAAATGCAAATACTTCAAAAAATTTGGGATTCAACAAGAAATTCTTCCTGGTCCAAGATTATACAGTCTTTAAAACTCCATCGAGGATCTGACTAATCTAAAAAATTAGCACCTGGCTCCTTTAACAAAATCCCTGCACCATTATCAGAATGAGAGTGCAAATTAAAACAAGATCAATAATAAGTTAGAATCAGATCCCTAAGAGCTTTCACTTAACAGAATCCAAATAAAAAAAAATAAAAATAAAAATAAAAAAACCTACAATCGAGGCTAGTTTTGGTACTAAATCACTGCAACATGAATAAAAAACATGGTGCTTTCATGGACACACAGAGCTAATCATTTTAATATAGATGACCTTAACAGACTCACAATTCATCATCATCATCATCAACGTAGATGTTCATACTCTGCGGATTGAAGCATCTTCAAAATAAGTGAATCACAACTCAAAATATAAAGATAAAAACAAAAATCTAAAATCCAATTTTTTTTCTTTTTTTTCAAATTTCAAACTAAAAAAAATGATGAAAAATATAATCAATACAACCAGATTCACTAAAAAATATGAAAGGAAAGTCTTCATAGCAAATCAACCAACACGCTTGCCACTCCAGCAAGATGGAAAGGCAAGATACCTTGCAATGTTCTACCTAAAACAAATTAATCATCAAACAGACAAAGCAACCAATGAAAAAAACCCTTTCGAAGCCTTACCACTCTCTTCCTTTGGAAGCACTTTTTCATCTTAATCAACCACCAACCTTTTAAACAATCATTTTCAAAAAAATTAATAATAATAACCTGAAAGGAAATCCTATAAAGTGTACTACTAAAAAAGGCATATCGTAAGAAAGTTAGGATTTTTTTTTTAAAGTTATGCTATGTTAATTTGTGGTAAAAGTTACGCATAGTGAATTTATGGTGTGCACTCTAAAATGAAAGTTATAATTTTGTGGTGAGAAAAGTTGTGTCATTTTATGATTTATGTTACAAAATTTTGTAGTAGTGTTAAGAAAGACATACCATATGCACCTTTTTACATAGCATCTCCCTAATTTGAAACTAATGAAAAACTGTAGAAACGATTTTATTTGAGAGTACTTTAGAGCATCTCCAATGGTTCATTAGATTTTTCATCAAATCTGAGTAAAAAAAAAAAACGATTTCCTCTATTTGATAACACCTGCTCCAATGGAGAAATTTAGCTTGACCCCCCTTTTCACAAAATTTTGCTTAAGGTGGTCATCCGGGAGGACGTCCAGTCGGTAGTCCGGTGGGACCCACTTCCAACATAAACGCACAGTGTTTTGGTGAAATCTGCTTCGCTTCTCATTTTGGTGAAACTTTTGGTATATTCTCAATTCGATGTCCGTTTAATGAAACCGTTGGAGCCATAAAAGTGATATTTTTTCACACCAAATTCAAATCTGATGATGAATTTGATTAAGCGTTGGAGATGGTCTTAGGAAGTTACTTACTGTTTTCATTAATTATGACCTATTCAATTGAGCGTTGTTGATCATTACGACCTTTTCCCATCATGATTGAACCCCTTGAGTTAAATCCTAGCTATTGAATGGTAATGGATCCTATAGAAAAGCATCAAACTGAAGCATCATTTCCACTGCAGTTTATCAAAAATTATGGAATCTCTATTCACAACAATGAAGGCATATTAATTCACTTCAATTGTTAGAAATAGTATACAAAAAATTACAAATAATCGGTTTTCTTTAAAGAACTATTAAACAAGCCAATGTGAGCCAATCAAATATAAAAATCACCAACTACATAAACATATTTAAGGAGGCAATTCAAGTGGCAGTAGATAGTTAAGGCTATGTTCATAGTGATAGTGTTTCATCCGGGCAATAGCAACTAATAGTTGATTAAGTTTGAATAACTAAAGGCGGAGGTTTGACACAGACCGTTTGACTAAAGAAACTCAGAGCATCATCGAGCTCCTTAACATTACTAAACCTAGATTTGGGTTTCACTAACAATGATCTAGGATTAGTAAGTGTCTCTCTCTTCTAGTAGTATTAGTAGTACAACTAGTAATACCAATACATCAATGAGGATGAAACAAAACTAAGTTGTTCAAGGAGAAGAGAATAGAAGAACCTTTTGGGATGTAATGATGCTGAATTAAACTTTTACTCTTGCCTTGTATGAAAAACAAACAACAAACACCAAGCTCCTGCAACTGCAAATGCAAATACTTCAAAAAATTTGGGATTCAACAAGAAATTCTTCCTGGTCCAAGATTATACAGTCTTTAAAACTCCATCGAGGATCTGACTAATCTAAAAAATTAGCACCTGGCTCCTTTAACAAAATCCCTGCACCATTATCAGAATGAGAGTGCAAATTAAAACAAGATCAATAATAAGTTAGAATCAGATCCCTAAGAGCTTTCACTTAACAGAATCCAAATAAAAAAAAATAAAAATAAAAATAAAAAAACCTACAATCGAGGCTAGTTTTGGTACTAAATCACTGCAACATGAATAAAAGACATGGTGCTTTCATGGACACACAGAGCTAATCATTCTAATATACATGACCTTAACAGACTCACAATTCATCATCATCATTATCATCATCATCATCATCAACGTAGATGTTCATACTCTGTGGATTGAAGCATCTTCAAAATAAGTGAATCACAACTCGAAATAAAAAGATAAAAAAAAAAATCTAAAATCCAATTTTTTTTTTTTATTTTTTTTTTTTTCAAACTAAAAACATTATGAAAAATATAATCAATACAACCAGATTCACTAAAAAATATGAAAGGAAAGTCTTCATAGCAAATCAACCAACACGCTTGCCACTCCAGCAAGATGGAAAGGCAAGATACCTTGCAATGTTCTACCTAAAACAAATTAATCATCAAACAAACAATAGCAACCAATGAAAAAAACCCTTCGGAAGTCTTACCACTCTTTTCCTTTCAAAGTACTTTTTCATCTTAATCAACCACCAATCTTTTAAACAATCATTTTCAAAAAAATTAATAATAATAACAGCATAAAAGCTATATCCACATTTACAACAGATATGTATATCAACCCAAAATTGATACTTTATCATCTAAGAGAGTACAAAACACAGAGCTAGTGAAAACCCTTTTGAGGAATTATGGATTCACCAATACCCAAATCTCCAAACTTGTTGATATGGACCCAACAATCCTTTTCTGCAATCCCCAGAAAACCATCTTGCCTAAACTTGAGTTCTTTCGTTCTATAGGCTTGTCAAGCAATGACATTCCAAGAGTTATCTGTGCTAGCTACTGCCAAGCTTTATTGTCCCGAAGCTTAGAAAACCAGCTAATCCCTTGTTATAATTTCCTCAAGAGTGTGCTTTTTCTCAATCAAAATGTCATTAAAATGTTGAAGAGTCGTCCTAGGGTTCTTCTATTCAATGTGGAAAAGATACTTGCCCCTAATATAGCAACATTGAGAGAAGCTGGGGTGCCTCAATCTGTAATCTCGTTCATGATGTATCGCTCTCCTAGCACACTGTATCAGGAGAGTCTCAAGTTCAAAGAAGGTGTGAATAAGGCAATTGAAATGGTATTCAACCCTCAGAGATCAACATTCGCTCATGCAGTCCAAGTGCTTTGTGATATGCATGAGTCAACTTTCGAACAGAAAAAGGAGGTTTATGGGAGATGGGGTTTGTCTAATGATGAGATTCTGTTGGCATTCAGATCACATCCATTGTGTATGAATTTATCGGAGGAGAAAATTATGGAAACAATGGATTTTCTTGTGAACAAGATGGGTTGGCAAGCCACGGTTGTTGCTAGATGTCCAGTAGTCCTCTTCTTCAATATGGAGAGGAGGATCATCCCACGGTGCACAGTTGTTAAAATTCTGCTGACAAAAGAGTTGGTGAAGAAAGATCTGCGCTTGACTACTTTTCTAATACCCAAAGAGGAAGTGTTCCTGGGGAGGTTTGTGAACAAATATCAGGATGATGTTCCTGGTCTGAAGAATATTTATTTAAGGAAAATGGGTCTTGTCGAACCAAGATTAGGATCTAAGATATGAAAAGAGTGGATCAGTCTTCACATTTATATGAGCTTTAGTTTTCGTTCGACGGTTGTAACCTTACCTCCACACACTAGTTCAATTGGAATTGTTCTGGAGACACAGATATTATGGCTTCTGCTAGGATTGTTTTGAGTGCTTTCATATGCATTTCCTTGATGTTTCAGATAAGAAATGGAACATGTTCTTTTGATAAGTAACGCAGCATGCATTAAATTCATTAACATATGTTCAAAGATGTTACCGAAGTTAGCAGGTAAAAACACATCTTCAAGTCAATATCTGTCTCCCATTCTGGTATGTGTGTCTTCTTTGAAAAATCTATCATTTCTAGTAGTCAATGAAACTAAATTTGGCAGTGAGGTTTGTGTTTGTGCACAGCAAAGCAATAATTGTTGGTTGGAGTGAATATGCCTAGATTTTCTATATGACTGGTGTTTTCCTTTTAAATAACTTGAAGAGAATATTTTCTTATTTTCATGTAATTTGCCCCCTTAAGCTACCATTGCTACATCCCATATGGCACATTTTATCCTCTGACATTAGGTTTAACCTGTTCAAAAATTGATTTTCAATAACTACATTTGCGAACCTGTTACTGATTTCCCATTGCTGGCTATACCAACTCTGGAAAATGCTTTTTCTGTAACCCAACTTTTTCTATTATTTTTAGTTTGCTTTGACATAAGTTCTGTTTCAGATCCTTGCTCTCTTGAAACTGTGCCTGGAGAAACAAGCCCTTCATTGCCTTAGTTTCCTTGAGAATTGTTACAATAATTCAAAATCCATTTCTGCAAGAAAGTGTTTCTTTTTCTTTTTTTTTTTCAACTCATGATATAAGAATGTCTTTTTGCTGCCTTTGTTCTTATTCCTCTCCTTTGTCATGAATATTTAGCATGAAATAAATAGATGTTGAGATGTCTCTTTCTAATTTTGGAATGGCAATTTGCTGCCCCCCCCAAAGTTTGTGTGGGTTTTCCCTGCCAGCCCCCATAAGAAAACAGGGGACTACAAACCGGATTGTTTCTTGTTCTTTCTTCTTTTGTTTGGTTTTCCTTTACTTGTGTGTGCGTGTGATAAAACTAACAGGAATTTATTTGTAGCTACTTATTGAAGGAGAGAGAGGAGATTATTTTTTTTGGGGGAAATCAGACAGTCTTAACAGCTTTTGAGTAATGCGAGTTGCAACTGGACCTTCCAGTCCAAAAATTATCATGAAGGTCAATGATCATTGACATTTAGCTAGGCTTATATTTGGATCGGTAATATTATACACATTAGTAACGTAAATTTTATAATTTTTTAACTGTCCCATATTTCAAAGTTTCAAATTTGTTTTCTAAGATTTATTAGTTTGTATATTATTTTCCACTTTGGAAAAGTGAGGGAAGAAAATAAAAAGTAAATTAGGCTCTGTTTGTTTGAGTTTTGAAACTTTAATTCCAGTATAATGTTTTCACGTAGTGTTTGTTTGCAGCTTTCAAAAATTAATTTCACTCTCACTTTTAAAAACTCGGTCGAAGGCGGGAAAATTTAGACTAATCAGTCGTCCCACCGGTCGTCCAGCCAGTTGACCGAAACAGTGTAATTTATTTATTTACTAGTGTATGTTCGTGCCTAAAGGCACGGTGTAAATAATATTGAGATTAAAATGCAGTTGTAATTTGTACTCTACATATTAAAATTTGTAGAGTCTGTAGTACCTGATAAAAGTTCAAGTCAGCACTCCTACCATTAGTTTGTGACTAACACCTAATACATTGGTGAGTACCCCGAACCACAAATATCAGATTGAAATAATATGATACCTCTCACAAGGGAAGCACTATAAATGGTGTGTGCCGTATGCGCATTATAACTAAAGAAAAAATTGCATGATTTCATACTTTTTGAGTTATAACTATATATAAAAATAAAAAAAAAAATCAAAATCAAACAACATGCAAGGCATAACTAAAATAAGGTCATTACTAAAGAAGAAAATTGGTCATAACTAAAAAAAAAATGACATACTCAAAATTGTCATTTATAATCTGTATAATAAATTGTATGGTTTTGTTATACAAACAAACAAATGTTTGGTCAACTTATGAACTTCATAAAGTATCCCCATTCACATAGCTGGAAAGAAAAAGAAAATTTGCCCATTTTCTCTCTCCTCTCTTTATCTCTTATCTCAAAATTTTCGCCCACTTACATTGAAAAGTGGTGCAGATTTACACATATATACAGGAGACACTTAAAAAAGTGCACAGTTTAAAAGATAAAAATACAATTATGGTTTAAAATAAATAATTGGACATGCATTTTCAAAAATACTCTACAATTATGGCTTAAAATACAAACATACGAAAACTAACAATTAAAAAAAAAAAAAAACACTTTACAAAAACCATTAAGAACTATACCGCTGGACATGCATTTTCCTTTCCCTTGCCCTTGGAAGCAAAAGACACCTTTTCTTTTCTTTTCGACATTGCCTTTGCATTTTCCTTTTCCTTTGCCTTTAAAAACTAACCAAAGTCTAAGAAATAACCAAAGTATAAGAAATAATAAAAAAAAAAAAATGATATGAAAGTGATTTTTGGGCTGACATTAGAAATAAGAACGACATTGAAATCATACTCATCACGAATCACTACACCGACATTTCTTTGTTGAAGAAATTGAACTTATACATACAAAAATAAATAAGTAGCTGATATGTACACAAAATGAAATTTTATAAGACGATGAGTAAAGGGAACGAATATTACAGTTCGTTGTAAGTCTCCATCTAGCTGTAAAAAATGAGAATATATATATTTTTTTTTATAATCAGAACCTATAATACAAAAGTTTTTTTAAAATCTATGTACCATTTTTTTTAAAAAAGACAACTTACATTATCCATAATGTTAGAGGTTGTTCCAGCTTAATATTGCCAAAACCTGTAATACAAAAGTTGACTTCAGTAAATACATATTAATCCAGTAAAGGTTTTGGAATACATAACTTATGTAAATACAATAGTTATTTTAATTCACCAAGTGAAACCAAATGAAACAATCAATAGATACTTAAATGGAATCAAACCTATCGATGGCTTAAGCTTTGTTGAACTGCAAAATTTATAAAGTTAATTCATATGACAAACTAATAAAAAATCATCAATCATTTTGAAATCCACAGTTAATTCATATGATAAAATATCTCATTCAAGGAATTAATAAAAAAATCACACTGGAAAAAAAAATCGCACATATGGCAAACTAATAACCCAACAATCATTTTTCGCCACCAAAAGGAGTTGTGTTTCCAAGAATGTATTTATTGAAATTAACAAATAACAAAAGATTTGCAATAAATCCACAGTTTGAAAATAATAATTTAACTCCAAACATTTTCAGGTATTAGTAACACAATCTGAATCCAAACAACATCAAAAGAAAGTAGCAATGAATCTTCCTATTTTTCTTACAAATTAATAAATATTAAAATTGTCCAAGATGCCACATCATCCCAACTTGGCAAAGGGTGCAAATGAGTAGAAACATGTGTAGTAGTAAAGTCAACAAATATATATTGTTGCACCTAAAGTGGACAAACTCAATCTCACAATTTCAGAAGCTATGAAATTATCCTCTGTAATTTAATAAGGTCAAACTCAACCACCCCAATCTCACAATTTCAGAAGCCATGAAATTATCCTCTATTTCTTTCAATAATCAAACACCCAGAAAATCCAAAAACCAACAAAGTAAGGACCAAAAAAAGTCAAAAAATGGCATATTTGACTATCAAAGCCTATTGAAAGTTTATTTAGCAAAGTTGAGAGCTCCATCCACTCAACAGCAAGTTATAGACAGTAGAGGATAACTCGAAACTTAAAATTATATTTGAAACACTTTATCATTATATAATTGAGACCCATTATTCAGAATATATTGAACACATTATATTTGAAACACATTATCATAAAATTAAATCTCCCACTATATCTCAACACATTTAGACCGTAAATCTATATAAATATAAGAAATGGCTGGAAATTTTAGAGGTTGATGCAGCTTAGTATCTTCAAAATCTGTAATACAAAAGTGAACTTAACAACCCTTTATTGGCCATTATTGGCTAAAAACAACCCTTTATTGGTTTAGAAACAGAAACACATATGGAGGCCATTATTGGCTAAAAACAACCCTTTATTGGCCAAAAACTGTCCAATTTATTGATTAATTCCCAAAAAATGTTTGACACAAAAATTTTGGATACTAATAAAGCTTGAACAGTATATAATACCACAAATTCGAACCAAAGTATGAATTTAAGAAATCAAATAGTACGATACCACAGTATGAATTTAAAAAATTAACTCATGAATTCTATAAGGGCTTTTTCGTTGAAATTGTACTCTACGAAATGTGGTTTAGATTTCCATACTTACCACATCTGTAAAATTAATTTAACTCCTAATAAAATTAATATAATTCAAACTAATAATAGATTAATTTAAGTCCAAATAGATTAATTTTACAAACTAATAAAATTCAAATGTTATCGAATGTTACAAACTAATAAATTCGAATGTTATCAAAATGCTATACAAACTAATAAACATGTGTTTTATGCAATAAATAAAACTCAAACTAAGGCCTTGTTTGATTAACACGTTAATAAAATAGTACCACTAATACTACCAATCAAACATGCCCTAAGTGTCATTCAAGGAGAAAAGAAAAGAAAAAGAAAACAAAAAATAAAGATTAATTTAACTCCTATCTATATTGGTTAAATTTGAAACATTAGATAAAAAGTCAAAAACTAATACAAAAAATAAACTCATTCAATACAAAAAAACATGCCCTAAGAGGCAAAGGAAGGTACGTTTATTTTCTTCTTCCAATTTTTCATTTTGTTTATTAAAAAAAACAAAAAAGGCCCTCTGTATGGTTTTCTAGAAAGCAAAAACCCACTTCAATTTGTTAAGAAATTGGCAGAGGTTTTGTTAGACATGGCTTTCTTAGGCATGGCTTCTCAATATATATATACATATTGGAATCATACATAAAGAGGGGGTTTGGGGTTTGGAATCATATATACATACATATTGGAATCATATGTATAGATATATATACATCCATAATCATATATAAAAATAAAAATAAAAGATTAATTTACCTTGTTTGGATATGAAAGGTCTTAAGGAAGTCCACAATGCTTCAGACTCAATGCTTCAAACCTGTTGTCATATTATTGAAACAAAAGATTATTGAAGATTATTAAAGATATCCAATTCATTAATATTTTGAAAGATTATTAAAACAAAAGATATCCAAAGATAGAAATATAAAAATCAAAGTTCAGATTTCCATTTGCCCAATTTTTAGCTACTAATTAATGCTTGGTTGGTTGTGTATGAATGAAATTTAATAAATCGTAGAGGTTATTTGTAAATCAAATTTGAATGTTATCAAAATGCTATACAAACTAATAAATGGGTAGTACCTTTGATTAATAAAATAGTACCACTATTACTACTAATCAAACATGCCCTAAGTGTCATTCAAGGAGAAAAGAAAAAAAGAAAAAAAAAGATTAATTTAACTCCTATCTATTTTGGTTAAATTTGTTTGCGAATAGGAAAATTAGCTAAAAAGTCAAAAACTAACACATAAAATCAACTCATTCTCTCTATTTAAAAAGCCACAAAAAACAAAATTAAATTATAGACTTGTATCACATACATACATACATACATACATAAAATACAATTATAGACTTGTATCAAAGATAGAAATATAAATATTAAAGAAAAATCAAAACTCAATTTTCCATTTTTCCCATTATTTGTAAATCAAATTCAAATGTTATCAAAATGCTATACAAACTAATAAATAGGTGTTTTATGCCCGTGCCTGAATGCACTATCTAATAAAATTCTTATATTACAATCTATGTATTGCAAAAATGTTAACGACCATAAAAATGTTTTATGAAAAGTGTCTCAAAGTTGTGATCAAACAACCAAAAATGTTTAGGATCAATCAATCAACCAACAAAGGCTAGATGATTTTTCGTAAAGCTTTTAAGAGAAATTATGTATTATGTAGCATACCTAAACAAATATAGCCCTGAATAGTATATCAAAAAAACCATAGGAAGACCACTATATCAAAAGTTACATTGATCACAAATTGTTCTAGGACCATCTCAGATGAAACAAACAAATTTAGATGAGTAAACCAAACCATGCCTTAAGTCCCATCAAATATCGATTGTATAAATAAAAATGTACACAATAAAATAATCAATTTCAAATTAGTTTAATAAAAATTAAAATTAAAATTAAAAAAGCCATTGCCTATTTTGAAGAGTGATTGTGGTCAGCCACCATGACAAAATAAGAAGCCACTTACACACAAATGCAAAAAATATATTCTTGAAGCCCCAAACACATTTCTCGTGTGTGATGGCATTTTTTGGTGCCCAAAATATTAGAGTAATTTCATGTGGACAATGACACTTTTTACCAAGAAAGGTCATATATCTTGTATATAAGAATAGCACTATCACACGCCTCTCCAACTTTTCATCTTGTCCCACTCAAATGCCTCTCCAACTCACAGAAAATAATGCAATGGAATGGAATACATCTATTGATCCTCCATATTTAGACAGCCAATTTTGTTTCATAAAGTCAAAAAGCCAACAAATAATTTCATAAAAATAGTACCACTTTGATTAAAAATAATTTCAAAAAGCCAATACTATTAATCAAACATGCCCTAAGTGTCCTTGAAGGAGAAAAGGAAAAAAAAATAAATTTAATTTAATTCCTAATAAAATTAATAAAATTCAAACTAATTTAACTTAAGTTAATAATAAAATTAATAAAATTAATACTAATAAAATTAATAAAATTAAGTTAATACTAATAAAATTAATAAAATTAAGTTAATACTAATAAAATTAATAAAATTAAGTTAATACTAATAAAATTAACTAATTTAACTTAAGTTAATACTAATTTAACCTAATTTAACTAATAAAATTAATAAAATTCAAACTAATAAAATTAATAAAATTTAATTTAACTCCTAATAGATTAATTTTACAAACTAATAAAATTCAAATGTTATCAAAATGCTATACAAACTAATAAATTCGAATGTTATCAAAATGCTATACAAACTAATAAATATGCGTTTTATGCAATAAATAAAACTCAAACTAAGGCCTTATTTGATTAACATGTTAATAAAACATGTCCACTAATACTGCTAATCAAACATGTCTTAAGTGTCATTCAAGGGGAAAAGAAAAAAAAAAAAACTTGGAAAAAAAGTAAAAAACTAATACAAAAAATAAACCCATTCAACACAAAAAAACATGCCCTAAGAGGCAGAGGAAGGTATGTTTATTTTCTTCTTCCAATTTTCCATTTTTTTTTATTAAAAAAAAAAAAAGCCCTTTGTTTGGTTGCCTAGAAAGCAGAAACCTACTTCAGTTTGCCTAGAAAGCAGAAACCCACTTAAGTCTTCGTTCCAATGATTTTATCAATCAAAAGCTTTTCAAAACCATAGAAAATCAACACCCATTTCCCATTAAAGAATCAAACCCATTGGATGATGTTTCCACAATAGATGTTTATCTGCCACTATAGATGTGGCAGATACATAAATAATTTCTATGTATAAACATCAGATGTAGATGTTTATCCACACCCCTAGGACTATAGATGTTGGAAAAATAATTTTATAAACATTAAAAATAATTTCCCACAATTGGATGTGGCAGATACATAAAACCATATGAGAAATCAAACATTTCAAATTAATTTTATAAATGCATATCAGATTGGGATCAAAATGCATATAAATAAAGCTCTCTCTCTCAATGGATACAAATGAAAGCACAATCAAAGTAAAGCAGAAATCACAGTACACAGCAAAGGTCCAATAATTCAAACCTTGGGGACAAAAGGTCCAACTGGATAATTCATCTCCAGAACAATTCAGATTAAATTCAGATTCAATTCTCTCTCAAACTATCAAATGTATATGGTATTACACATACGTATCAGACACATGAATTGAACTGAATAAACAATAGGATACCTTGAGTTCGGCCTAAAGTTCTTCACGCTCATGACCTGTAGCAATTGGCATAACATCTGCAACTGTCTTCTTCCCCTTCATAATAATATCTGCCATCCATCAACAACTAAATGATATTTGGAATCCTTACTCTTCTTTTTTCATAAAATTCAATTGAAATCTTGGTTAAAAACTTAATTTGATAGGAGTACTCCAATCCTTACTATTTTTTTTCAACAAATCTTTTTGAAAAATTCCAAACTTATCCTAAAATCAGCTTTAACCATTTTTAAAAAAAGAAAACCATATTCAATCCTTACTCTTTTATAAATTAAAACCATCTTAAAACCCATTTCAAAACCATCTTCAAAACCCATATCAAAACAATCTTGAAAACCATCTTCAAAACTCATTTTAGATCAAGTAACCATAATCGTACCTATATATAAAAGAGTTGATTCAATATTTGGGATATCTGTATTCTCAATATTTGCATTGTCCCTAATCATATATAACCAAATGTCATGTGGACTTGCAGTTCAATTTTTAAGTTTTGGCCCAAAAACATAAAACTGATACACTAATATGGAACCAATTAAGGCCATAAAAGTTGCCCACAACAGAAGTTATTAAATGGGAAGACTTGCAACTTATTATGATTATACCACATGTAAACAAATACATATAATTGTTTTACATATTTGATAATACATTCTGATATCTATTCATTAACATGCTCAGATTTAGTGCACATTCATACACATTTATCAAAAGAAACACCACAAAAAACATGTCAATTCTGTTTATTACTATCAACGGTGGCGGCAATGACTTCCATTTTCTCAAATAACCTATACCCCACAATAAAAAAAAAAATACATATTGGAACGTGGCAAAGCAGCTTTAAAGATTCAAATGACATGGAAATTGCATGTTAGAGCAACTCTAATGGTATGCTTCCCTTTCATGCGAAAGCCAAAATTTGGCAACAACATTTCTAATTCATGTGCTATTTTTTGGTGCCAAATTATAACAATGCCAAAATTTGGCAAGAGCTCATCTCTCTATTCTCTAATAATAGAACCTATTTGTCAACAATTGTGACCATCTTAACTGTACTAAACAAATGTTTTTTTTTAATATACAAATTTAAAAGGACAAATGAAAGAAACACTGAAGTTGAATTTTTTAAACAATAGAGTCCATCAAGGAAAGACCTAGTTGAATCAAAGAAAAAGAAAACAATAATTAAACAACATATATAATTGTCCCAATAACACTAACAATTTGTGTAAAATTCCAAGTTGACTCTTTGAGAAAAAAAAGATTTCTAGATATTAGATCCAAAACACAACATGGTGTCTTCCCAAAGAAAATTTGAAAGAGATGAAAGGAGTACGTGTGTGTGTGTGTGTGAGAGAGAGAGAGAGAGAGAGAGAGAAAGAAAGCGTGTGTGTTCAAAAACAGAGCCATCAGATTACAGAGGGTGTGTGTTCACAATGATATATATAATACACACAAATAGATACATGTTCAACATAAATCATCAAACCCATTTCATAAATCAAACCCATTAAATAATCAAACCCATTTCATAAATCAAAACCATGTTCAACATCAAACATTTCAAATTAACCATATCAGATTAACCATATCAAACATTTCAAACCCATTACATAGATCTATAAATATGTATACAAATGTACATCTATATATGTATACATCCAAAAAGCAAATTATATATATTATACACACAAATACATACATATTGGCTTGAGAGAGAGAGAGAGAGAGGGGGTAACTGGGGACGGTGACGGTGATGCTCTGGCCGGGGAAAAAAAAGATTTCTAGATATTAGATCCAAAACACAGCATAGTGTCTTCCCAAAGAAAATTTGAAAGAGATGAGAGGAGTACGTGAGAGAGAGAGAGAGAGAGAGAGCGCGTGTGTTCAAAAACAGAGCCATCAGATTACAGAGGGTGTGTGTTCACAATGATATATATAATACACATAAATACATACATGTTCAACATAATCAATGTTTTTGGTTATGTCATTAATTTACATTACTACATAAATAATATTACATAATGTGCTTAGAGTATCCAATAATTAAATTATTTTTTTTATCGGCAAAAGTTAGTTGTTAGTTATTATATTAGTATTTATGGGAGTCAGACTGCTCGCCCTTTGCAAAGTACCAAGTGTTTATTTCCTTAATTCAACTTTCCTGAAGAGAGTTGAATACATTACCTTCCCCTAAGAATTAAGCCTTTAGGAAAGTTATAGTGGTCAGCTAAGCTAAACCTAATTGGTTATCCAATAATTAAACTTTACCAAATACTTTAGGAAAATTCTACTACACACATCACTCTTGTAGTATGTACCATATGCACCAATTACGATGTTTGTAATGTTTACGTATAACCTATTCTGGTATTAGTTATAATTAAATTAAATTTACTGTGATATTAATTATAATATTAGTTTGATTATGTATGTCTTATGTAATATTTGATTATGACTCAATTTTTTTTTAGTTACAACATTAAAAGAATTCAATTATGACATTTATAATGATTAATTTTATAAATATCATAATTTACATATAGTACATATATTTAAAAAATGGGGGAATTACTTAACAGTGAAGCAGAAAGAAAAAATACAAACATATGAGATATAAGTAATTTTGTTATGAGGTGTAAGTAAAAAATTATAGGGATGCAAGTCTCATTGGTAACCCTTTATATTTGTATATATTTTTTTTTCCCTATTACACTATTAAGAAATTAAAAAAAAAAAACAAAAAAGTAAAACAAACAAAATCAGTGAGCCATCTTTTCAACACATAATAAAAAACAAATATAATGGCTATTACAAAATAAAAAACAAAATCACTATTAACATACTCTCACAAATAAAAAACATAATCTGCAGAACCGTAAATAATAAAAAACAAAAACACTATTACAAAATAAAAAACACTTCAACACATCTTTTCAAAAAAGTAAAACAAAACAAAATAAATAAAACGCTCAATCAGTGAGCCAAACAGTGTCTCATTCCTACCCTAAAACCCATTCCTCAATTACAGGGTTTCTGCCAAAATCTGCAGAACGGTAAATAAACAAAATCTAATCCTTTTCAAACCCATGTTTTTCAAAATCTGCATCATGTTTTTCAAACCCATTTCAAACCCATTTCTACAAAATCAAATACAAAATCAAACCCATCTGTTCAGTACGTGCATCATGTTTTTCAAATACAAAATCAAACCCATTTCAAACCCATGTTCAGTACGTGTCTCATTCCTACAAAATCAAACCCATTTCCAGCATAAATCAAATACAAAATCAAATACATACATGTTAACATAAATCATCAAACCCATTTCAAACCCATTTCATAAATCAAACCCATTAAATAATCAAACCCATTTCATAAATCAAAACTATGTTCAACATCAAACATTTCAAATTAACCATATCAAACATTTCAAACCCATTACACATATACATATATATACATATATATACACACAGATGGGTTTGATTTTGTATTTGATTTCTATATACACATATACATATATATACATATATATACATCCAAAATATACACACAAATACATACATATTGGCTTGGCCGGGGACAGACTTCGGTCCGGTTCCTGCAGTGACGACTCCCTTGTTGACGGCAGAGAGGGAGGGAGGAAGAGAGAAGATGAAGACAGGGAAGCACGGCAAGAGTTGGGTTTCGACAGGGAAGCACGGGAATGGGCTCCAATGGAGGGAGAGAGAGAGAGAGAGTGTTCAAAATGGCAGAGAGGGAGGGAGGAAGAGAGAAGATGAAGACAGGGAAGCACGGCAAGAGTTGGGTTTCGACAGGGAAGCACGGGAATGGGCTCCAATGGAGGGAGAGAGAGAGAGAGTGTGTTCAAAATTTGAAAACAGAACAGAGGAGAGGAGTATGTGTGAGAGAGAGAGGGTATGTGTTGAGAGAGTGTGTGTTGAAAGAGATGAAAGTGAGATGTTTTTAGCCCTTAGATCAAATCAATCTAATGGTCAAAATTTGGACAAAGGGACAAAAGTCCCATCCAGATTCAAAAATCTGAGCTTCCTTATTATATAGATTTATTTATTTATGCAATTGACACATTAATTATTATATATTCAACAAAAAAATATTTTTTGAATTTTTAAAATTTTTTTGAGCTTTAATAGAATTTTGGGTTGTGTGTTTGGTTATGTCACATCAAAAAAATTTCACTCAATTCAAAACTTTTTTCAAAACTCATTCACCGAACAAATTTTTCACACTCAAATCATAATTTCAAAACTTACAAGCTCAAAATATAATTCCTATTCTCAAATCATATTTAGAAAACTCTACCAAAAGTTACCTTAAATTTTTTACAAATATTCATTTTTTACAAGTAATTAAACAAAAAAAAAATATATATAAATATATATTCATTTCTTTACAATTTTTTTTCTAACCCAATAAAAAAAGAAATAATATCCACATCAGGGTTTCATTTCCTTTCGGGTCGGGTAAATCAACACTATGGTCCAACGCAGATGGAGCCAGTAACGCATTGACACAGGAAAGTTGGAGAGAGAGAGAGAGAGAGAGAGAGATGGCGAATCGACCGGGCGAATCTCGGTAGAGCGAGCGAAGGAGAAGCTACCCAGATTTTGCCCCTCAAACTGGTTGAGTTCTTGCTTCGCTAGCTCTAGCCTCTGCTGATTTTGTCTATCACTGACTTTTCGGAGCAATGTTTGGCTTTCTTTGTCAACAAAGCCGACTCAGATATGTTGCAATTTCAGGCACTGCCCATCTGGGTTTTCTTGAAAACCTAAATATAATACAACCCATCAAATTGTTCTCGTCAAAGGCAAGAACAACAAAAAATGAAATCGAACAACTAGAAGAGTTTTTTACGGTGTCTTACCTCATAAACTTACGTGGTTTGAAGAGAGGCATGATTGGTCCTAGAGGAGAGATCTTTTCTGCAGAGGATGCTGACAGTGCCGAGTCTGACGGTATTACAAGAAAAAAGGAAGGTGCCTTCTACATATGGACCAGTCGCGATTTTTATGAGAAAAGTGGGGTTTATCTATTCATTTTCTGGTGGATGGGCATGTTTAATGTATGCCCATAAACCAATCAAAGAAATTATTGGTTCCATTCAACCCAGCTTCTGGTTTGTTCTCAAAGGCCAATTTCTTCTTTAGAATTTGGTGGGACCAAATCTATAGTTCCCCAAAAGCTTGTCTACTTGTCCTGGGCATGAGCTTTTTGTACTTCTGTCGTTCTTGCCTTAATCATTTATCTGTTGCTGAAGTCTCCATATTTCTGATTAACAATGAACCATGCAATGGCTAGGGTATGATATTCTCTGGTAATGGGTTTTCCACAAGAAGAAATTCAATGCATCTCTCATTAAAATACAATGTACAACGTGCTAGTGCTAGTGCTAGTGCCTTTGTTTCCGTTTCTTATCTTCATTTATTATTTTTGAATTTTTTAATATTTTAAGTAATTTTTTTTTATAAAAATTTTAGGTACTTCTAATATAAATACATTTAAAGGTATAGGCTTTATTTGGTTTGTTTTTTAGAAACAAATTTTGAAGTAAATTTTTTAAAATTTTGTTTGGTTTAGTGATTTTGGAAAAAAAATTTCAAAATTACTTTCTATCTCCTACACATCAATCAATTATTTTTTCTCTCTCCTCTCTCCTTCTCAATCATTCTCCCACATACATCTACTCAACTACAACAAAATATCAAATCATCTCAAACTTCCGCAGTCCCAAACTATTTTCAAAATATACAATCAAACAAACCAAAAAAATTTCTAAACTCTTTCCACATGATTTTTTTTTGAAAATTTATCTCCCGAAAACAAACCAAACACACCTATAATATTTTTGAATTTCTTTTTAGAAAATTCACTAAATACCAAAAATATAAAACAAAAGAAAGAAAAGAATTCAGTACGTTTTTCATATTTTTGTATATTTAATGATTTTTTAAAATTTTACTTTTTAGATATATCTAAGTAAGGTGTATCTAAAAAAATAAAAAATAAAAACTTAAAATTCTGAAAATATTTATTAAAAATAAAAAAAAAAACAAGAAAAATAAAAAGACTCAATTTCAAGAAAATTGAATTCAGAAAATTGAATCAAACACAATTATTATTTTTTGGGGATTTTTTTTAGAGTCCCTAGTATTAATATTTTAGAGCATAAAGGACATCTAATATTTTTCATAATGTCTACGATCTCTCAACATTGATCTAGAGAAAATTCGATCCAGAGAATTTCTCTAGACTTTCCAAAGAAATTTTCTCCAGATAAATTCTAGGAATTTCTCTGAATTTCTTACTCTCTAGAGAAATTCTGAACTTCTCAAAAAATTACTCCCCAGAGAAATTTGAGAATTGGATAGATCTCAAATTAAAAAAGATGAAGTGGATTTCTCTGGAACCACTCTTTCAAAACCCACCACCACCACCACTACCACTCTCATCTTCATCTCTCTCCTTTAGCTTTCCAGATAAATTTTATGGATTTCAGAGAAAATTATGAAATTGAGGTCGATTCATAAGCGAACCCCAAGCAAAAATTAATTGCTTACCCCCAATTAACAAAATTGGATAGAGCTTAGATTGAAAAAGATGAAGTAAATTTCTTTGGAACCCACTCCTTCAAAACCCACCACCACTACCACCACTACCACCATCCTCTTCATCTCTTTTTTCTGGCTCTCTAGCGAAATTCTTTAGAGATCCAGAGAAATTCTCTGGATTTCAAAAGTCGATTTGGTAGCATAAAGGACACTCAAATTAGCAACAACAACACCCAATTTATAAATCCAAAAGATGAATATAAATATGTATACACATATATATCATCATCACCATGAACCTAGTAATTCTAATATATATACAAATCACTCAAATTAGCAACACACAGATTATACATACATACATACATACATACATATACATATATATATATATATATATATGACGTAGTTGAGCTCCAATCTCGATTTTTGGTACTAAAGCTATGCCTTAATTAAGGCTACAGAAGTTGGTGCATTTTGTTATTTTTTGTTTGAAAGTCTTTGAATTTGACTATGGCGTACTGGTGGTATTCGTACTCTCTATGATCTTAACCGTCCATTTACGAATGACTCTGGTATTCGTCCCGTCTTCTTTTATTAATTATATTTGATTTCAGAAGGTTCTTGGTAAGTGTGAGGATATATTTTCTGAGTACCAACACGTGGCTAAGGTGACGCCGACGTGTCAGCCGAGGTGCCACGCATCCTGGTCATGACGCCAAGGTTGTCTTGGCGACGCCGAGGTTACCTCCGAAGATATTGGAATTCGAGATAAGCGGATAAGGCACAAGAATCCTAGAAAAGGGGAAGACTACTGTTGGGAAATGATAAGACTCTTAGAGAGTTTATCCCAATCCTACTAGTAGTCCAAGATTGATAATAATCCAAAGTCCATTGAAGCCAGGCTTCTGTTGGGACAAAGATTGAGTTAGCTATAAAAGAGAGGCACCCCCGTGGGTCTAAGGTACGCAATTTATATTCTGAATAGTGAGTTTGCACTATTAATTATTTGTGAGAGATATATTAACTTGATCGTCGGAGCGCCCCTGGGTGGACGAACCACCGCCAGAATCTTCTCTTTTTGTTGCAGGTTAAACAGGTGTCATCTATTCTGCCAGTGCTCTCCAACTGAATACTAAGTTGGTAGTGTGGTCAGATTTTCACCCACACAATTTGGCACCGTCTGTGGAAAAAAAAGGAGAATAGATGGCCAACGACAGACAGAAAGAGAAGGTTGGGGACGACACCCCTACTGAGAGTGGGAAACATATTGACCTTGACGTCGCAGAAGACAACTGCAACGAAGAGACTCGTGATAAGAATCACGAAGGAAAGGACGTCGGCCAGAAGGGCGGCGTACCGAAGAAATCGGACAAGAGCGGGTATTATAACGAGGACGACCTCCAGGTATGGAAAGAAAGATGCTTATGAAGGGACGATGAGATGAAAGGAATGGCGAACAAATTGGCAGACCTGCAAACGGTTGTCAATTTCATGATACAGAACAACGTCATGCAGCCACCATTCCCGTCACAAGATACACCGATTCCAGCAGCTGAGAAAGATGCCCAGGCAGGGGGGCAGAAGACAACTCTTACGACTCCTCAGCACGATAGGACCGAGGAACATTCTCACCGGCCTTCAAGGGACGTCAAACGAGGAGAATCAAGAAGGAGAGATTCACAGAGGACACATCGCACCAAGGAAGCTCACTCCAAAGAACATCGACATGTTCAGGGGAAGGACTTCTGTTTCGACGCGACCGATAGAGGGAGGTCCAAAAGGACTACCAATGAGACAGGAAGTAGTGCACCAAAGAGGCTGAAATCCGGAGATAGCCAAGCTCCTAGACGAACCAAGGAGGATCTGAGGGATTACCTCCAGAGAAAGCGACAAGATGCCGAGGTGATCTCACCTGTCAAGCCGAGATAACACTGGATATGAGAAGACAATAGCTCAGCCCAAGTAAGCCGATCCCGGATTCCAGATCTCGGATCCCAGATCCCAGTAGACAAGATCTCAGCCTAAGATGATTAAGTCCGAGAAAGGAGATTATGTTTAACACTTGTTGAAACTTGAGAAAAGTTTACAAGTGAAGTTAAACCGAGATTATTGTTTAACACTTGTTGAAGTTTGTGGATAATTTACAAGTTGAAGTTAAACCGAGATCATTGTTTAATACTTGTTGAAATTTGTGGACAATTTACAAGTTGAAGTTAAATCGAGATCATTGTTTAACACTTGTTGAAATTTGTGAACAATTTACAAGTTGAAGTTAAACCGAAATCATTGTTTAAACACTCGTTGAAATTTGTGAACAATTTACAAGTTGAAGTTAAACCGAGATCATTGTTTAACACTTGTTGAAATTTGTTGACAATTTACAAGTTGAAATTAAACCGAGATCATTGTTTAAACACTTGTTGAAATTTGTGGACAATTTAGAAGATTGAAGACTAAGGTTAAACACTTGTTGAAATTTTATATTTACAAGGTGAAACCAAGATT